TATGAGACTTGCAGATACTCGCAGACTTGTGGCTACTGGTGGGAAAAGAGCCCCTGGAACTATGGCAAGGTCGCTAGCCCTAAGAAGGCGTCAAGGATGTTTATATCAAGCAGGGGACTAAGTTGAAGAGGCGTGCAAGATCAAGGGCTGCTACCGCACGGCGGACCCCGGAACCCGTTCAGCACCACTGCTGCAAGCCCTGCTGGTCACTCATGGCAAAAGGCACGAAGCGCGCCACCATCGAAGAAGCCGAAGACCCGAAGGAACACGCACCCAGTTCTTGTTTGGCCAGCCAAGCAAGCAAGCAACCAACCAACCAACTAACCAAACAACCAACCAAACAACCAACCAAACAACCAGCCAGCCAGCCGAGCAAGCAAGTAAGCAACCAACCAACCAACCAGCCAACCAACCAACCAAACAAACAGCAACCAACCAAAACGCCAACCGCGTGAATCAACCTCGCTGCTTCCTTCCAGGCGAAGCTGTCGATGCTCCGTGGTGAAACCACAGAGGCGAGTTGGGAGCTGGGAGCTGGGATTCGCATGTCCCGCGTGAATCGGCGGTTCCCGGCCGTTCGGTTCCTCGGGTTTTCGCTTTTGTTTTTTTGTTGGCTTGGTGGGGTGCCATTTAAGCCACAAGCTCAGCTTTTAGCATGGGATCAGTTTGGACAGCCCTGAGTAACGGGAACGAATGAATGAACCTTTACCTGGGTGTCCACTGGAATTTGCAATTTTGTAAGGAACGCTCGCCCGTACCAAACTTTGCCTAACAAATGCTCTACTGCATGTCTTTGGGGTTCGCTGTTAGGTTCCTGAAACCTTATGAACCCTTGGTTGAAGAAGACTCAAGATGGGATCCTTCTTGTCGGGGAAGCCCCCCCCCATTGATCCCCCAGGTTGATCAGTCCGGGGACAACGATTTGTGGTGTCCTACCCCGCCCAGAGCGGAGCCCACAAATGAACCCTTGCTGAAGGAGCCTCTCATGGTTGTTGTTGGGAAACATGTTACATTTTTGTATTGTGGTTTAGTGGGAAATCCCCACTTAACTGCGAAAATTTATTTTTGTTGCTCCCCTTCCAACGTCAACCAAGCTCTTGTCTAGTCCATGTTTGCCACTAGTATGGTAGTTGTGGAGATGAGCTCAGAACCAGCGGACGGTTTCCTTATCACCCATAGTTTTGGCTGCTCACATGAGGGTGTTTCTCAAAGTAGAGTGAGCCTCACAATGGATGTTCTTTAGCGTCCATGTTGCACAACCCCAAGCAGGGTGCCATCTTGGGTGCTGCGCTGAGTTGGGCGTGGTGCTTGCGTCCGGCCCAAGCATGTGTCTTTTTGTTTTTTCTCTCCCGCATATGAGAAGGTGCCAGAGAGGGTTCCGGAACCCGTCAAATGCCGGGTTCTTTATCGGTTTCTTTTTGAGTTGCAATCGCTGGGAACTGTAACCTGTTTCTTTTGCTAGCCAGTCTTTTCTCTTGTGAAGTCTTCGGGTCAGAACGTCACGACCAAGGGGCCAACTCAAAACAAGCGGCTCTATCGCAGCTCACGAAAGCAAAGCTGCGGGTTGGTGTTGCCAGACTCAAGTCACCTCGCCCTTTTGCCTTTTTCGTTGTTTTCTCCTACCTGCAAAAGCAAAGTGCGACTTAATAACAAAGAACAAACTTGCGTATGTATGGGCTTCGGAAAAACAAAGTAGCAGAATCGCTGTGGGAGAAGTTTACAATGGGGGTGCAGCGATTTTTGGCCAACACAGACTTGCCTTGGATTTTATACCTTGTTCTTGTGAACATCAGGATTTCGGAGGGTATACTGAAAACCGATACACATTGACATGAATGATGTGTGGCGTGTACGATGCAGGCAGATGTGGGTATTAAAAAGATTGCCACGGGGAGCCTAAAGCAATCTCATAGAAACCACGCATCTGCAAGCATGTGAAAGTGAACCCAAAAAGAGAACCTTGAACTCTTGTGGTTGAGCCCCACAGAAAACCAGTCACCGTGCTGAACCTTCACAGCTGATCATTGTCCTTTTGCTCTATTCGGGTATTCTCCTCTCATCCCTCCTTCCACCACATCCCGAAGTTGTTTCCCCATGTATCACGGGCTTCTTTTCTTCAGTCTGGTGGTTGATCCACACATGTTTGTTGTTGGGAAACATTTTACATCTTTGCTTGTTGTGGTTTGGTGGTTGAATTCCAACCAGTTAACTGCTAAAACTGTTCAATGTTTGCTCCCCAAACCCAACGTCAACCAAGCACGTAGCCCACCAGTGGCTCAGAATACATTTCTATTCACCGCCGATGCCCAGATGCCTGAGATGCAGCCCCCTCAGCCGGTGGTCGAGGCCGAGGCGCGATGCGGCGCGAGGGAGAAGTTGTAATCATATTGGATGTAAAACGAGCTCACCCAAGACAGGGGTAGACTTAGGATACATTTTGCATTTTACCAGTGACTCAAATTGAAGCAAACAAATAAAATATACATTCTATAACTGGGCCTAACTTTAATCATGAAGAATTGAAGGGCCTTTCCTTGGAATTCCTCTTAGCTGGGTCAATAAGAGCAGAGAAATTTGTTCGGAACGAATCAAGGAGCCAGATGCCCAGTTGCTTTCCTGTTCCCAGACCCCCCATTGAATTTGTCCTTTCTTTTCCTCACTACGTGCTGCAATGGTCAGTCGCAACTTCCCTTGCACAGGTGCCAACTGGGTGCATGCCCATTCTGTTCACTTTCCTTGGAAACCACAAGAACACGGGGGGAAAGAAGCACCCACAGGGAACTACAAGAGTCAAGAGTCCCTCAAATGAAGCACGAGCGGCGGCAGAAAGGGAAGAACAAGCGCAAACACTGGAAACCACAAGCGTTGTTGTTTTGTCACGCGGCTGTGGGTCAAACCAATGGGAGCCCATTTTGGGGTAGGTTACACCACCCATTTTAGAACCTATTTTAGTGGGGATTGGGATGTTCACTGGGGGTCACGACCAAGCCTGCCGGTTGCTCGGCCAGGAAGAGGACCTCAGCCCCTGACGGGCCAAACGGGACTGGGTGCAAGCGCTCAAGTGGCTTCCGCCTGCCTGGAGCGGGTTTTTGCAACACAACATCCAAGCGTGACAGCACACAAAAGGGACCCATCTTTGTTGACAACCACGCTTACCAGCTGATTTGGCTGACTATGTTGTAAATCAGATGTTTTTTTTTGTGTTTTTTTCTCGGGATGCGTTTCTTTGGGACAAACATAACAAGCTCGCCACGAAGTAAAACAAACTCTTGAACTCACCTATGAAGATCCCTTACTCGGGGATTCTCGATGTGATCTAAAGTAGCTTGCCCATATTTCTTGCCATGACTAGATGGTAGGGCCAGATCAGCATTGTTTTTTGTATTATCTCACATGATGCCACTTGAAGACACCATTTCTGGGTAAGCTACACTGCAGCGACCTAACCAACCAGGGGGCTTGCGGCTGCACCTGCATAAGGAAGGGTCCAGTGTTCTGGGTTCATTCTAATTGTCTGCTAATTAGACCATTTATGTTGCTTTTTGGCCCCGGCGAGGGGGGCAACTGCATGGCTTGAGTCAGAGGTCCTGCAAAGGATGCTTGACCTGCTTGGCAACCTTCCTGCTTGATCTTCATGCTTGGGCAGGACCGATAGTTCTCACGAATTTCACGTGTTCGGCCTGTTGGACGTCCAGATGGAGATGAGAAGCATGTACGAGCTTCATTTTTCGCTGTGCAAGTGGGGCAGTGTGACTTGTTCATCTCTAAATTGTACCATAAGTCTCTTCAGGACAACCTGGAGTTGCCTCCTCTCTTGCTATCCCCCCAATTCATCTCGTGAGAGGGGCCTACATCCTTGTTGAGGGCTCCTTTGTTTTCTCATGCCACATGCTTTCCCCGGTGGCGAAAAAGGCAAGTCATGTAGCACCAGGGTGCCCTCATTTCCAAAATAGGAGTGAGGATCTCCTTTCTTGCCGCAAGAACAACAAGGATTCATTGGAGGGCTGGCCAAGCATCATTTAGATTTGTAGCTTTGACGGCATTCGGATTTGTAGCTTTGAGGGCCTGAATTGTGTTCAACGCTCAAGGCGTTGAATACAAGCGCTGCCGAAATGGTCGTGCTTATTGGCCTGTCTTGTGTACAGAGGCTGAGAAGCCAAAATGGATGCTCTGGATTGATGCACTTTTGTTCAGAGAGATGGAATACATAGAGACATGGAACAGAAATGAATTTGAATGGAAAATAATAAATAAACCTATATTCTTCCGGACTTGCATCCGTTCTTGCAGCAAATATGCTGGTTGAAAAAGGGGTATGGCAATTAATCTTCCTCCTTGGGTTGACCGCCATCATCTTTTGTAAGGCTCCATTTCACGCAACTTTGCGCGTGCATCAGCAGCGCCCCTTCGGTCTACCAAGTAGATCAGAACTCATAATCCAAGTGGCTTTTAATTTTCCCTCATGGTAGTCACCTTAGTGAGCTCAACCTTGCCAGCTTGAAACCTTGCCAAGAGCGGTTGGTGGACAAATAACCATAACTCAATGTTGACCCCGGATTAATGGACCGACTTCTTTAGCAGTTCCGGTGGTACCCGCGCGGATTTGAACCCCCAACTTTGATGGCCCGGCTAGGTGTCCGAGCAAAAGCGCGTTAATCCATACCAAGAAGCCTTGAGCCCGGATTGATAAACTCCGGTTTGGGTGTCCCTGGTTTGGGGTTCTTCACTTTTGCAGGGGAATACCCCCGTTTATTAGGGGGTGTATTAATCCGGGGTCAACATCTTTAGTGAATTTTTCACCCTTACAAGCTTGAAACTTGCTTGCCACTAGCGGTTGGTGGACAAAGAACCAGAACCAGAACCTGCTTCTCAGTTCAAAGCCGACCTTTTGACCTTTTGGTTTTCCCTTTTTGGCCCATTTTTAGTTGAGGTCCCAAAAGGTTAACCTTTTGTTTCCAGGTCCTTTGGGCAAGTGAGGCTTGGTGCAAGTCCGTCGCCGGAGCATTTGGCTGGGACGGTGTGGGGGGAAGCACCGCCGGGGTCGTGAGGATCGAGGCACGGAGGCTTTGGTCTCCTTGGGGTCTCCTCCTTTGGGGGGGGGTGTCTCCTTGTTCAACCTCCCATCAAAACCATGAGGTGAATATACCGTTCTAAACGTACCTTCCCTTTCCATTCTTTCCAGGGATCCGAATCTTTTCAGGAAACCATCAAACAAATCAGGGGAAACAGATCCGGTCTTTGAAAAGAACGATGGTTGAAAAGAATGGGGAATCAACCCCTAGAATACCCACCATTATTGTCCGTTCATGATTTGTTCATGATGCAAATGGGGTCCTTGCCGTTTGTTTAATGAGCGTTGATCCCCGGGCTTGGCTTTTGGTTGTTTCAAGGTACACAGGTAGACTCCGAAGCAGAAGCAGAGAGTATGGTTTTCCGTGCTTCAGGCCATCTCAGGTGTCCATTCGGTCAGTCCTGCATCATTTGCAGGGCCATTTGTTTGTCCTGCAGCATATTGCAGGTTTGCGTGAGTTAAAAGGGGGCCTGAGCGCTTGGATTCCTGTCCGGAGGAGGCACGGGAGCCCATCAGATTGAGAACTAGGATATGGTTATGTACATAAGGAATAAGGGATTCGAGCTCGTGCGGTCTCTTTACTTTCGAAGTTTTTGACCAAGGTCGGTAAACGTTTTCGTTTGTTGTGAGCAGGTGGAAAAGAAAGCCCCCCGGGATCGCTATGCAAAGCAGCTCGCCAAAATCGACAGGAATAGTCCTAGTGCCTTTCATGGGGATGTCCAGTTCCATTCCCGCCAAACTATGACATCATCCGCCAAATGCGAACCCTCAAATGCGAGGGGGACCAAAGGCCTTTGGCCCCCAACAATGTAAGACTGTTCTTTGATTCGGGCACAGATCGGGGCCAACTTTCGGGTCTTTTCAGATGGACAGAGGTGCTTCCATTTGCTTAGACATATGTCTCAAATTTTCCCTGGTTGGTTTCAAAGGGACTCGATCTCTGCAAATATTTCGTGATTTTATCCAGGGGATGAAGAAGCAAATGGATTCGTGGGACCTCTGTTTGAATCTGGGTGGCTTGTTCTTCGGGGAGCCTTCCAGTCATGGAGTCGGCGGACTTGAGAAGAGCTGGAGATGGACATCCTCCGCTTGAACGAGTTGCCCATGGACTCAAGGTGGATACCCAAAAAAGCTTCCAGGGAACAAGAGAAGAGAAAGGTAGTTTGCCGCAAGTTGAACCAGGGTTGCGTGGTTGGATGTTGGTGTTCTTGCAATATAAGATGTTGATTTCAGTCGTTTGAGTGCATAACTTTCGATTTTGTGGCAAGGGGATGGCAATCTAAAACAACAGACACACATATTTCACCACTAGATACTTATAAGGTTATATTCTTCTATAATCCTTCGTCAATCCCCTCAAAATTTCCACAAATAAACAAAACGACAAAGATCGCCCCCAGAAAGGCAGCCCTTTTCCGCTTCGCCACCGCTTCGCCAGCACGAAGAATTCCCGACGCGAGGCATGCCGCGATGGCTGAAAGCGCGGCTCTCACGGCAGCAGATCAAGGAGATGCAGGAGAAGCGCGCAGAGGACACCTTCGGTGCATGCCAAGGGATGTTAGGACTTTAACAGGGCTCCTTACAAGATACATGTTGCAACCCTTTAAACCATGTTGCTTTTTCAACACCAAATATTCAGGGAAACCATTATTTACAAGGCAATGTTCAGGTGTATAGTGTAAGGATCCCTGTTTAACTGTTTGCCAACTAATAAGTTTTGCGTTCTAAACCACTAGAAGTTAAACTGTTAGCAGGGGAGCAGAAAGCAACCGAGACACGTCCGGAACATCGGCTCGGCGGAAAAGTCGATTCGGTTGAAGCCTTGGGCAACCGATCGACTGCCTGGCAGCCGCGCTTCGGAACCAGCGAATCGTCCGGTTCCTTGGGGTGTTCGTTGGTCTCACTTCCTGAGTTGGTGGACTTTAAACTTTTTGGAAAGACCATTTTAGTGGTAAATAAGAAGTTCAATCTTTTTTGGCCAGTCAACTTGGGAAGTGAGTGGTTTGGGCGGTTTCCATGCAACCCACTGAAAGTTACGTAAACCTTCAGCAGATCTGAGCACAGCCCAGGTCGTGGGGCAGCGCGAGAAACTTCGCGTGACCTTGCCGTCTTGGTTCCCCGATCCCCGTGGGCAGTTGGTTCAGTTTTGTTTGGCATTTGGTTCGGTAGCTGTTGTGTTTCTTGTGTGTGGGTCTGCTTTGCTGTGCTTAGGGCGGCAAGTTTCATTCTCTTGCAAAGGGAGTAGTGGCACTATCCCAACTAGTCAACGAGAACTTCCCCTTTCCAGGTCTCCTGTGAAGTGCTCTTTGGGGCTTGCAACTAGGGCTTTCTGTTCGTTTCCCTGGTGTTTTGGCTGGTCTTGAGGTGGTTGGCTTTGTTTGGGTCAATCAGATTGAGTTGCTCCCAGTCCTTTGATGGCTGGCCCTTGGTACCCCAGCTTTCTCCCCGCTTCTCTCCCTCCACCATTTGCGCAAAAACCAAGAGCAACGCCCATCGGGCTTCCGATGTGTTGTTTTTTACATTTTGGGGTAGACTAAATTTTATTTGGGCCGGAATCTGAACACCTTTCTTGCCAGGAAGTGAGGAGACGAGTGGAGTCCACCGCAGGGCACTCAGTCGCATGGTAAGGAGTTTGTGGATGGTCTTGCCATAGTCTTCCATTTGGTTAAGTGTTTTTTTGTGTTTTCCGCTGTTGGTTTTAAATGCAATTTATCACTACTGGAAATATGTGTATTTCTCCTGGAGGCTTAAGCAAATGGAGGTAGTGAAACAAAGAAACCAGCAATCCACGGGTAGATTCGAGCAGTGTGGCGAGCTTCCACCGTGAGCCCGGCGGGATGTGAGCCCATGATCTACCCTAACTCAGCTCACACTGCAAGCTGCGGTGCGGGATGCGCTGCCATTGCGCCACGGGCCCTTTCAGTGTCTTTGCAGCGAGGTGACCGTGCAGACTTCCCTTTTACTTGGGATCGTGGCTTCGGGGAGCAACACGTGCCTGGATATATCTATGAACCCTTGCACATGGGGCTAGAAACCCAGATATGAAGTGACACACAGGATTAACGTGGGAGTCTGGCCAGTGTTGCTCCTCGTGCGGAGCATGGCACGCGCAGGGTTCGATTTGCGCAACTGTTGGTCTACAACATATCCTGGCTTGTATACTGGGGTAGACTTAAGACACATTTTACATTTTACCAGTGACTCAAAGTGAAGCAAACGATAAAATATTCATTCTATAACTGGGCCTAACTCTAATCATGTATAGGCGTTGCTTTTATGTAACTCCCCAATTTCATCAGACACAGGGTTGTGGGATCAAGGGGTTTATTCCCACTTCTGTGATACAAGGGAATCTTCCCCTTTATATGGGGTGTTAGTCTTTGGGGTTAGGCCCTTTTTGTTGTATCACAGATTCGTGGATTCCATCAGACAGGAGAACCGCAGTGTTCTTTTGCCACGGGAAAATGAAGGGCCCCCGGGCGCTGCTTTTCCTCGGCGCCTGTTGCTTGGATGTTCGGACTTCAGCTTGTTGCCAACTCACGGTGTTTCTGCAGGGAAGTTAAACTTGAACTACAGCTTAAACTCATGACTTTAAACCACTCAAGTGAAGCTTTGATCTTTAAACCGCTAGAAGTTTTTTTCACTTTTAGCAGGGAAGCAGGTGGCGCAACCGAGCTTTCTTGGTGCGAATCAAGCGAAGCGAAGCCATGGCTCAGGGCAACTTCAGCTTCGAGGCCTGAGGCTGAGATCTGAGAGCCGAATGCGCCGGTCCCCGGTCCCCGCCGTGGTTTTCGGGAGAAGCTTAGAACGAAATGTACAAATATATACACACATGTACACATGTAACATAAATATGGTTTCCTTAAAACACAAGGAAAACCATATTGAAGGCATTTGCTGGGTTCAGATAACCATATGTTCAAACTCATTTTTTCCCCGAACAAAACACATTTTGTTTAAATTGAACATGTGGCCTTCCATAAGTGTCAAGGATTTGGAAGTCGTTCCTAGGTTGGTACCAATCAAACCCAGTGCCATCTATTTCTAACCAAGCCGAAAAGGGATACCTACGATCCGGATCCTTCCCAGTTGGTTGCTCATGTCATTTCCTCAAGCCCCACGAATCTCTGTACCTGCCTTCCGGAGTCCCTGCTTTCGCGAACATGTGGCGCTAAGTTCAGGACGGAAAGAGGACCACTTCTGGCTGACGAGTTTTCTTTAAGGGCCTTCGCACTACCACGGTAAATGAATTCTTTCCATTTACCAGGGCCATCTATGTTTGCAAAAAGTCACCCATCCGCCCAACCCTGCTCGTGTGTGTTCCTATCGTCCATGATTTGATGCACCATGAGTTTGTTCAACGAGGATAGTTTGTCGTCACCAAGTTGACCAACCAAATCCAGTTTTTGTTATCGAGATGGGCTTAGGCTTAGTAATACCTGGACCCTCAACTACCCTCAGAAGTGGAATTCACTCATGATGTTGGGGCAACATCTCGTGTTTAAGGGCAGTTTGACAGAGTGGGTACCATAGTTGCTAGAAGTGAAGGTTTGGCCCCTGTTCAGTGACACCACGGGATTCCTTAACAGGTGACAACGAAGTAATAGAAATATGCAACTGGTTGTCACATAAGGATTTTTTCCACAACCATTGTCGGTACACGATGGCATATTCATATGGAACCCAAAACATCGTGCTCGGAGCAGGCTCCTTTTACCGGACCCCTACAAAAGGTTTCCTCCTGTCCACTAACATGGAACCCACCAGAGGGTCCCAAAAAGAGGATTTGGGTGTTGTTATTTTGCAGACTTAGGGAGGTCTCATGTTGGACGGGAGGTTAGCTCGCTTTTCGCGAGCCACGACCGAGGACGAGACTTTTAGGAAGTTCCCGCAAGCCAGCGATGCGCAGAAGGCGCGCCAGGGGCTCGT